TGTCCCGAACGTCTTTCACACTGGCCTCTGGACATCAGATAGTCACTACCTGACCTGGTCATGATCAAATATGCTAGCTTGGCATAAAGGAAAAGTACGCAATTATTTGTGTCTGAAAACGAAAGTAAATGAGGGGAGTTGAAAGATTTCTTTTCCTGTGGCTCCCTCTAGTGGACTGCAGTTGTCCTCTAGAGAGGGCATTTTTGCTCAGCCAATGCAAGTCTATGGGAAATCTTTGATTTTTGATCATTATTTATACGAAAACTGTAAGTCTCATCAGTTAGAAAAGATATAGAAACAAACTATAGATCAGATCCAAGGTCTCTGACGAGTTTGGTGCCTGTAGCATTAAAGCCCTGGGAGGATATACAGGACAGTTGAAAATTACTGTTCTCAGAAGAAGAATACGTTTAAATAGTTTAACTAGCTAATAATTTAAGTAACAGTGTGGTGGATCAGTGAATGCGGGAGAAGGAGAGAGATAACACACATACTGTATACGTGTGTGTCTGTACAGCAGTTAAACTCAATACAATGTTTATATCTTCTTGTTTCAGATGATGGGAGAGATGAGAACTCCTGACCAAGCTTGTGGACTGAAAGTCAGGCTAGGGAATTTAAAAACAGGCACTCTTAAATGTGCATTGAAAATTGCCAGCTGATAAAACCTATTCTCCAGGGACCATATTCTTAAGATAAATGTAACTGGCTGAGTTAAATGATTAACACTAAACAGTAAGAAATCAGTCCAGTCTCCCCAGCTGTAAATGTCATTGGCTGTTTAAGTCTTCTGTTACTTATAATAAATTGACATGTTGATATCACATAAGCAGTCTTTCAGAATGCTCTCTGTTACATAGATGCATATTGTATGAATTAGTGAGTGTGGTGGTGCTTATGGGGTGTCGCTGTGGCACGGTGAGTATGAGGCTGGGAGGGAATATCAGAGTATACCCACTACAAAAAACTAGACTACACCACTGGGTACAGTACAGTTCAGTACAGTACGATTCAGTACTTGCGTTTCCACTGCCAATAGTACCCTTCTTGATAGGCGTGGTGTATGCCGGAAAGTAGCGATCGACGATAAAGCGCAACAATAAGCAAAACTCTGCCTCTTTTTGTTAAATGTCAGTTTTAATGAACAATAATAGCCATTATAAAAGTATAAGTACAAAGTATAAGAGGCTTATATAAGAGGAAATAAAGACAAAAGCAAACAATTCAGTCAAACGTATGCTACAAAGTCAGTGCTGTACTACGGTAAAGTTCAAAATAAATATATAAAGTTAAACATTACTTTGTGCTCAGCCAAAACGATATGACCAGGAATAAATAATAGATTCATGAGACCACGAATGCCTGTTAAATATAGCCTACCCACCACTACGGAGTCATCAGAGCCAGCGGCAAATGTCAGAAGGACTAGCCGAGGTGAGGCTGCTCTCGGCGGATACATGAGCACTGAGCGCCCGCTGATCGCCTGGAGCTACGGCTCCGAAATCGGCGAAGAACATTTTCAAGTAGGCACTATCTTTATAAATAAACCGCAGATTTGAGTTTTAAACAGCTACATTCTCGCCTGAAAAACTCTTAAAACTACATTTCATGACACAATAACAGTAGTAATATTTAGAAAATTACGCGGGTATTTGAGCAGTGACGTTTCACAAGTCCACAAGAACAGACAAGAACGCATATTGAGAAACGGCTATTGTCTGTGTGAAAATATAAAATTATAAAATACACTGTTATATTTTTGTGTGTTTGCGCACTCTGATGTAAATAAGCCCAACACTCATGGACAGCAGAGCGGAACGAGTGAAGGAGAAGCTTTATCCCCTTGTATCACGCAAAAGTGACGATTCTAGTCAACCAATCATCGTTCTGCGGTGAGTTTAGCTCCACCCTTTTGGTACCCTTTGCTGTGCTAGGTACCCCAACGGAAGGGTACCAAAAAAGTGGTACGGTTCGCTATTTTGGTACCATTCACAACTTCTGACAGTGGAAACGGAAATAATTGCGTACCGTACTGTACTGTACCGAACCATACCGCTCAGTGGAAACGAGCCATAAGATATTGATCGGGGAAGCAGTCACGTGACAAAAGAATAGTGATGTTACGTTCATGAACGAATCATTCTTTTTGAACGAATCTTTTAGGTGAACGAATCGTTCTCGTTCACGTAATCCATTGACTCCTATTTCTCGTTCACTGATATTCCTCCCTCCAGAGCAGCGCATGCGCAGATCAGTGAACCGGGTAGCTGTGAACGGTTTCATCCTGTCAAAGAATGACTAAACCTCGAGCCAATAGCCTTCGGGTTTGAAATATGACGGAGCATGTGATTTGTTGAATGTAGTGAACGGATACGCCCTTCACTGAACGAATTTCTTTTGAGTCTGAACGAGATCGAGAGATCTTCTTGTTCGTGAACGAGTTGAATGAACTGGTACATCTCGTTCATGAATTAAATGAGAGTGTACCGGGTCAGTCAGCCATTTAGTAGCCTATGTTAATCTCGATCAGCAATCAGCAGAAAGCAGATGCAAAGCGCAGACAGTTATAGGTACTGTGCACATACGCTTGTTTACATATTCATATTTAGCATACAGAACATAACTCCACGTTTAATCCCCGATTTATGAGTGTGTAAACGTCTGACCAAACAATGAAAATGTTAATTATGCAAGAAAACCTTGTGCTTTGGTCATCTGAACAACTTTAGACTTTATTTAATGAGTAGATTAAGCACACATTTTGATAAAGCCAAATCAGTTTAATAAGTACTGTATTAATTTATTTTATTTAAATTATTAATTTAATTTACTGTAATAAGTAAATACGTTCGTTAACTTAAGACATAACACAAGTAGACATAAGGCAAGACACTATTTTTCGCCACCTGCTGGCGTATTTATGTAATATGAAGAAATGGTCACTGAACGAATCAGTGAATGAATCATTTTGGTGAACGAACTGAAAATGAACGAATCTCTTGAAAGAATCAGTTTCCACCGCTACAAAAGAATGAACGCCCCGAGGACTGCACAGCCAGCTAAGCAATGAATTAATCATTTCTGTTTCTTATAATTGGGTCTTGTTTGCATTATAGTTTATATACCATGATCAATGTTTGAGTCAACAGATGTGTTGGGGAATTTGGATATTAACACGGAACATTTTAATTATATTCTGCTGAAACGAACGAAATGACTTGATAAGTGATTCGTTCGTTCTGCTGAACGAGATTCAAAGATCCGAGTCAGTAAAATGATCCGAACTTCCCATCACTATCACCGGTTAACGTTTTTCAAAAATCCTTTGTTTTCTAGGACTCTGGAAACCCGGAATAGTTCATCAAGACGTGCATATGTGGATAATTATATTTTACCTTTGGATTGGGAGTAATATCATTCTTGGTAAAATGCTTCGCCTCTTGTCCAGTTAAAACCTCGGTTCGGTAGAACTGCACAATGGCATCCACCTTGTACACCGGGAACGTGTTTTCACTCATGCCTGCTGCTGCAACACATAACATAACATAACATAACATAACATAACATAACATAACATAACATAACATAACCACATTCATCAATGAATTCTCTTCGCTCGTTGTTTAACGACGCGAGCAGCTGTCCAGAGCGATAACAAACACTTATGCCTCATAAAGCTCTGACTCGGGGAATTAGAAGAATTATTACCATCTTTTTCACATTGTTGGTCCGACATTATTGAAACTCTACCATTAATACCCAACTATTGTACTAACCGAGTTTACGCTTGGGTCCCTCGTCGTCAACTGACGCAAATTCAAACTTTAGGCGCCTCTGCCGTCACTTCCGCCATAGTTTCCCTACGTCACGAGTCGTCGCAAAAGCAACGCGTGTAGCGCCCTCTACTGGACAGTTTATGCTCCAACGTGCACAGTTGGGAGAAGTTTTATTTAATTAAATAATACATTTAAAATTATAATTATTACTGGGATAGATTATGTAGTAATCTTTATTAATTACTATTAATTAAAACGTCATGGGATTTTTGCACAGATGAGCTCATGCTTATTTAGTAATGCACCTTTTTCTTGAAGAGTGTTTCCAGAAAATGAGATTATGCATTCAATACATTTTAAACAAAAGCAATGTCTTTTAAATACATTCATGATGATCATATTTTGTTCTTGAGGGGGAAAGTTTGGGTAAATATAATTTTCCAACAATAAAAAGTAGTAGCTGATTATGCACCTCTGATGGTTAAATAACTCTATAACGACTACAATCACATTTCAACACAAATTCAAGACCACCAATACTTGGATAGTTTTTATTATTATTGCAAAATATGCAAGTACAAATATTTCAGTTTTTATAAACATAAGCAAACACAGAACATTTCCAGCAAAAGCACGTATTACACAAGTACAGTCAATTTCTCACAATGCATCATTACATTCATCAAAAAGGAAGGAACAAAACAAAAGGAAGAAGGGCACAGCAAAGCAGGTATCAATCATGGTACATGACAGATCATATTTCTTCAAAAAAGAAGTACTTTTTTATTATTAATTGTTCTTAGTGATTTGATTAAATGTTCTACTTCACATAATAAATCTTTAAGAGTAGGTATTTTCTTAAGAAATTTTTGTTTGTGAAAACAAAAGACTTTGAGAGAGACTTGAGGAGATTACAGCAGGTTTTGGCATTTTAACGCATTAGTTTACCTCTCGGGAATCTGGCCAGTAGTTGTATTTTATGAAACGCGTTATAGTTAATGGTATTAAACTGCACAGTTTAATGGGCATATGAATTTATCAGAGCCAGAAATTCAACAGACACAAGCACACACACACACTAAATTCGCATCTTTGGATGGAAACATACGCTTCATTTGCCCACGTGACCGCGAGATCAAAGCGTGTCGCAACTCTTCTGTTTCTCAACGGCTCTGGTTTTGAAAAGCCTTGCAGCGTGGTGACGTGGGCATAAACAAAGTCTACGATTGGTCGACTGGACGCCGACGTCACCATTCCATCCATAGCGTCACTGTTTCGTTCGTTATAACGTGACCGTTATAGTTTTTTTCCGGCGATAAAGAGGTGAAACTATCTGATGTCTAGTGCAGCGAGTAGCTTCTCATTCTGTTTATTTACCGTGAAGCAGGCAGGCGCTGCTCTGAGACACCTAAAGCAGCGCCGCTGAGGTGCTTGAACTCTTCCGTGTTGTCGAGCGCGTGCAGGTGCGATTGGTCGACTGGACGCCGACGTCACCATTCCATCCATAGCGTCACTGTTTCGTTCGTTATAACGTGACCGTTATAGTTTTTTTCCGGCGATAAAGAGGTGAAACTATCTGATGTCTAGTGCAGCGAGTAGCTCCTCATTCTGTTTATTTACCGTGAAGCAGGCAGGCGCTGCTCTGAGACACCTAAAGCAGCGCCGCTGATGTGCTTGAGCTCTTCCGCGTTGTCGAGCGCGTGCAGGTGGTGTGTGTGTGTGTGTGTGTGTGTGTGTGTGTGTGTGTGTCTCCACGTCACTCACGTCCCCGCGAAACAACCGGAGGCACCGAGTATCGGTTTATCGGTGAGCACTCGCTGCACGGCTAACGGCATGTCACTGCTGGACTCTGACGACAGCTACGATTTAGTCTTCAAAATCGTTCTTGTCGGAGATGTCGGTGTCGGCAAAACTTGTGTGGTTCAGCGTTTCAAGACCGGGATATTCATCGAAAAGCAAGGGAACACGATCGGCGTGGACTTCACCATGAAGACGCTGGAAATCCACGGGAAGCGGGTTAAGGTTAGTGCTGCAGTCCGAGCTGCTCGGTATAGCTGTGTCTTATGGTTCTGGAGCTCATTCAGTTTCTCTTCATGGCGACAGCTTGTCGGAGTTTCCCCATAAATCCACATTTTGTACCAAAAATCTCCTTAGTACGTTTATTGTTATTACTGTAAGCCTTATCACATTCATTTAGGGTTTCATTCGAATCATTTTTGTGTGTGTGTGGTTAATTTGTAAAGCTGAGAGGTGATTAATGCATCGCAGTTTTAATAATAACTGATGTTTTGTCAGATATCGTATTAACCATTTTAATAGGAAGAAAGAGCGTTTCCTTGCGACGTTGACACGTAAGACGTGGAAGAATGAAAGTGAAAATACTGTGAAGTTAGTTGTTGGCTTTAGGGCTTAAAGTTGGCACACAGTGTTATTGCACAGTTATGCAATAGCCAAGGTAGCTGTTAAGCTGTAAACAATGTCTAACTGAAACCGTCTGTGGAGTCCCTGCTTGAGACTAATGGACATTTAAACTGCATTATTCTATAACACGGTTGGAAAATTCATAAGCATAAGCCAAAACACGGACAGTAGATTCTGCTGGATTTGGCAACAGAGACTCTTCATGGAGGTCTACCTGGGCTTGTGTTGGTAGTTTAGTCAAATCTCAACTAAAAACTAATCTTTTCCCTCAGTATTTTCTGATGAATTTTCTGTGTTTTATATTGTTTCCTGATAGTATTTGACCTGTTTGACGTCTGCAAGACGCATTTTTGAGAGAGTTTGCTCATCTGCAATACGTCTATAGGACGTGTTTCCTATCAGATGTCAAATAGACGTCTAGATGTCCATAAGATGTTTATGATTTAGAATGTATGTAAAACTGACATCTTAAAGACGTCTATCAGATGCTTGTACACAGCAGATGCTTTTCAGATCTTTAAAGGGGTCATATGATGTGATTTCAATTGTTCCTTTCTCTTTGGAGTGTTACAAGCTCTTGGTGCATAAAGAAGATCTGTAAAGTTGCAAAGACTAAAGTCTCAAATCCAAAGAGATATTCTTTATAAAAGTTAAGAGTCAGCCACACCTACCTAAAACGCCTCGTTCTAACACGCCCCCACATATCTACATCACTATGTGGGAAGATTTGCATAACGCCGCCCAAATGTTCACGCAAAGAAAGACGGTGTAACTTTTATTCTCGCTGTCGTATTATTGCCGCTGCAGCCATGTCGTGAAGGCGCTGTGTGCTTCATCCGTGCTGGACGCTGAGGAAATACTACAACTTCGCGCTGTGGATCGCCGGATCGGCTTTCACAGTGGACGAAGCGGAGTCCAGCCCGGAGTCGTCACATGTGGTTGCTACAGGCATCACAGTATGGTGAGGGGCGTAACATTTCCGTGACACGCTTGAGGTATTCGGCCAATCACAACGCACTGGATAGCTGGCCAATCACAGCACACCTCGCTTTTTCAGACCGATGAGCTTTGTAAAAATCGACGCGTTTCAGAAAGGCGGGGCATAGAGGAGAAACAATAATGTACAGTATGTGGAAAATAATGTGTTTTTTTAACCTTAAACTGCATAAACACATTTCATTACACCAAATACACAAAATAATGTTATTTTTAGCAGCAATCATATGACCCCTTTAACAAACCTCTTGCAGATGTACGTGTGTTATCTTGGGAAAGGCGCTTCAAATAAAGATGAATAAATACGATACGAGTCAAAAGTAAAAGTCGAGCAGACAGAGGTCAGAGCATTGTGAAACAAAGCAACAGACAAATTTTGCACATTGCACGTCAGTTTTTCATAGATACTGCATACAAAACCGTCAGTCATGTTATATGAAGAGCTTAATGTAAAGCCATTTTCATATAGACCGGTTCCTTTCAAATAATGAGCTTGTGTTCATTTGGTACTGTAGTGAGCACTTAAATACGGTCCTGTTAGCAGCGGCGTGACACTGGTCCAGATGCTAGCTCAGCCAGTATGGGACTCCATTGTGAAATCTCACTGTGTTTCATTGGCTGACTCAGTGAAGGTCAGCACTTTTTATTGTGTGTGTTGAGGCCGTGTCTAATGTCTTTTACCGTGCCAAGATTATTTGCCTAGTTTCTGCATAACTTATAATCCTTTACTATCTAAAAGTGGTTTCCATTTACAATAAACAACAGCAAACATCATCATTGTAGTGATGAGTTGGGCATGACCAATTCTGTAATTTGTTAACTTCAGATTGAATTAGTGATAATGAGTACATTGTACATACAATTTCAATGTAAATAAGTACATATTCGTTAAAAAGACACCTAATATAGAGTGGGTGCAATGTATAAGCACGATAGTAGTACAATACAATAAATATTTTGTGGTATAGTTACAGATTTGGGATACAGCTGGACAGGAGCGGTTTCGCACGATCACACAGAGTTACTACCGCAGCGCCAATGGTGCCATCATCACTTACGACATCACAAAGAGAGCCTCTTTCATGTCTGTGCCCAAGTGGATGGAGGATGTGCAGAAATATGGGGGTTCCAACATTGTTCCTCTGTTAATTGGTGAGTGCAGTGAGTGTGTCTGACATGCTTCCTTTATGAATTGTAATTGCTTTAAAGAAATAGATCACCCTAAAAATTGAAATTAGCTGAAAATGTGCTCACCCTCAGGCCATCCCAGATGTAGATGAGTTTGTTTCTTCATCAGATTTGGAGAAATGTAGCATTGCATCACTTGCTCACCGATGGATCCTCCGCAGTGAATGGGTGCCGTCAGAATGAGAGCTGATAAAAACATCACAATAATCCACACCACTCCAGTCCATCAGGTCTTGTGCAGCCAAAAGCTGAAACAAATCCATCAAGACGTTTTTAACTAAAATCGAGTCCATAATTCTCCAGTGAAAAAGTCCATCTTGTCTGAATCAGGAGAGAAATCTGACCAGATCAAGGACCATTTCCGAGCAAAAACAGTCCAAAACATTGTGATGTTTTTATCAGCTCTCATACTGACGGCACCCATTCACTGCAGAGCATCCACTGCTGAGACACTGATGCAATGCTACATTTCTACAAACCTGATGAAGAAACTAACTCATCCTAATCTGGGATGGCCGGAGGGTGAGCACATTTTCAGCAAATGTGCTGTTTGGGGTGAACTATTCCTCTAAAGAAACTGTTTTAGGAAAGTCTCTTGATTAAATCTGTTAAGCCCTATTCAATTCTTTTTGCATTTCAGGTAATAAATCAGACTTGACCGACTTGCGTGAAGTTCCACTTGAGGATGCACAGACCATGGCTCATCAGCTGGATTTTGTTAGTGCCATCGAGACTTCAGCCAAGGACTCTAGCAATGTGGAAGAGGCATTTAACAAAATGGCCAGTGAGCTCATTCTCAGACATGGCGGGCCCATGTTCACTGAAAATGTAACGGACAGCTTTAAACTCAACAGCAAGGATGTGACCAATGAGGTCTGGGGATGTGGGTGTTGATGACTGTTCAGAAAGCAATAAAAAGCTTTGGTTCTTACCACTCACTCAGTTATATAAATTGGGTCCTGTCAGCAGATGCTGAATTTGAAGCGGGAGACACTGAGGATACATTTCTAGGAGTGGCTTATAAAAGACCCACAAAACAGCACCATGTGATTTTATAAACCTACAGTTGAACGTAACAGTGAAGACGCTGGGTAGAGACCAGTTTGATTGCAAGCACAAAATTGCCACGCTTTTTTTTTAAATCATAACCAGCCAGAATTTATGTGCAATTATTTTCAAAACCCAGTAAGAAGTTTCCAGTAAGAAACCATTTGTTTCTCCATTGAACGCAAAATTGCTGTGCGACGTGACACAATCAGCCAATCAGGTCGTGTTTGGTGTTTAATGTGCAGTTATGTGTAGCAAGACTTTGGACAAATGAGATTTCACAATGGGCGGGGCTTCCTAGAGCAACAACTAACAAATAGAAACCAAGCTGTTGATAAAATATCCTATCGCTTGTTGGACCAGCTGTTAAGATTACACATGTACAGTATGTGACACGTACATCTCAGCAGAAGTTTTGTACTGTATGTTTTGGTTGCCCGTGGAGCTTATCCGGGAAAGATACCACATTTATTTGATGCAAATGAAACGAGGCTGTGAGGGTTAGACAGTGGACATAATTTTAACGCTTTGTCATCTGTATGATCGACACGGAACTATTTCGCATTCCATTTGTAGTAAATGAAATGTGTCGTCTAGCCAGACTAAGGTCCACTGCCACTTGCTTAATCTTCCTAATAGTTATGTAACCGTTTCAAGACCTTTAGTAACAACGGCTCAGCGAGGCTTAAGTCATTGTCATCAATATTTCGACATTTTATAGCTACTCAAGATTTCAAGTGCAGATGCAGCAGTGGTAGTGTGAAAATGTTGAAATGGACATTTGCACCAGAACACAGAGACAAATAAATCACTTCTATTCCACAGAAGGGAATTTCTGTAGAGGTTATTGGGTTCATGACCAGAAATCTCACATTCTCCATTGACTTGACTGACCTGAATTCTCAGCATGGTATCAACAGCCACGGTCCTAAGACATTTTGCCAATGTTTTCAGAACGTTTTTAAGATTTAAAGAAAAATGTTAAAAAATGCAACATTTTTAAGAGTGCATTCAATAATGAAGGTAGCCAGGTTCTGTTGTAAATGAGTGGCCATATGCAGTTCTCTAGGGTAAATTGGTTTGAATACAGTGTGTTGAACGGCTGCCATGATGGGTTACTTTACACTCTAATTATGTACTATTTTGTGATAACGTAGGCATTTTTTATAAACTGGCAAATTTTAAAAATGCAGACTGTTCTTGCAACCCTTTTGAACTGACATTTTATTATAGATGTCACATGGGCATTGCTATTTTGTGTTTTGCATTCATTTAGTACCACAAAGCCTTAAATTAAATTATAATAGAGTATAATAAACTAGCTTTTTAAACTTGCAAAAAAAACATGTTTCTGATAATATTGTACCATGTGTAATTTGTGAGAAGATTGCACCGATGAATTTGGAAGTAACATCAATTGCTGTTACATCTCAAGTAAGCATGAATAACCAGAGCCATTTTACATGCAATAGCGTATTTGTATTTGCCTGCAATATCTTCTTAAGGTTAAGAGCTCAGTTTGGTACTTTTTATATATCACTGACCAACACATATGGTATGGTGGCAGCCTTTAAGAATGTCAAGTCTTTAGTTTCACAAATGTGTAGTTTGGAAAAAAATAATTCATTATACAGAATTGTTGAGGTATATGAATGAAAGAAGACAGTATCTGAAATATATTGACAGATGTACTAGAAGGTAAATCATTGGACGAGCATTCTTCAGATAATTTATAGTGCCTTTTAATATTGTTGTAGTTTGTTAGTATTGTCATCGTGGTATTACTATGCGTTTTGCTGTTTGTCAATCAGTTAAATGTTTTGAGAAACATGATCAATTTGTATTTGGTAATAAATTGTTCTTATATTATTTTATCAATAAAACTGTCACAGCATAACTTGTATGTAAGACTTTAAGAATTTACTACAGAATTATGTTTGTTTTAAATGTTTAATTAATTTAGGGGGGGAAAAACACGTCTTTAATGGTCACAACTACCTCAAGAACTAGAAGATTTGTATATTGGAGTTGTAAACCTTGCACAAGATCATTTACTGGTAACCCCCCCCACCCCCCAAAAAAAGTGGATGGCTTTTATTTTCTAAGGGTTGTTTTGTCTCAGTGCAAATCTCACCATAATGTTACAGTGTAACAGCAACCAAAACAAACATAAATAACCTAATAAAAAAAAAGAATGGAGGCATAACAATGTAACAATTATCTATGTAATAATGGCACAACGAAAGGTAACAATACGGAACATGTTGAATTAATATGAGGTATTACACAAACAACTTGCAATGCTAAAATGGCAAGTTACTGTAATATGATTTTAACAATGTTAAACTAACTGTGAACAAAATAATAAAAGTACTAATGGTCTAGGACAGGGTTCCTCAAATCTTGCCCTGGAGGGCCAATGCACTGCGGAGTTTAGCTCCAACCCTGATCAAACTCCCCTACCTCATGCAATAGCGTATTTGTATTTGCCTGCAATATCTTCTTAAGGTTAAGAGCTCAGTTTGGTACTTTTTATATATCACTGACCAACACATATGGTATGGTGGCAGCCTTTAAGAATGTCAAGTCTTTAGTTTCACAAATGTGTAGTTTGGAAAAAAATAATTCATTATACAGAATTGTTGAGGTATATGAGTGAAAGAAGACAGTATCTGAAATATATTGACAGATGTACTAGAAGGTAAATCATTGGACGAGCATTCTTCAGATAATTTATAGTGCCTTTTAATATTGTTGTAGTTTGTTAGTATTGTCATCGTGGTATTACTATGCGTTTTGCTGTTTGTCAATCAGTTAAATGTTTTGAGAAACATGATCAATTTGTATTTGGTAATAAATTGTTCTTATATTATTTTATCAATAAAACTGTCACAGCATAACTTGTATGTAAGACTTTAAGAATTTACTACAGAATTATGTTTGTTTTAAATGTTTAATTAATTTAGGGGGGGAAAAAACACGTCTTTAATGGTCACAACTACCTCAAGAACTAGAAGATTTGTATATTGGAGTTGTAAACCTTGCACAAGATCATTTACTGGTAACCCCCCCCACCCCCCAAAAAAAGTGGATGGCTTTTATTTTCTAAGGGTTGTTTTGTCTCAGTGCAAATCTCACCATAATGTTACAGTGTAACAGCAACCAAAACAAACATAAATAACCTAATAAAAAAAAAGAATGGAGGCATAACAATGTAACAATTATCTATGTAATAATGGCACAACGAAAGGTAACAATACGGAACATGTTGAATTAATATGAGGTATTACACAAACAACTTGCAATGCTAAAATGGCAAGTTACTGTAATATGATTTTAACAATGTTAAACTAACTGTGAACAAAATAATAAAAGTACTAATGGTCTAGGACAGGGTTCCTCAAATCTTGCCCTGGAGGGCCAATGCACTGCGGAGTTTAGCTCCAACCCTGATCAAACTCCCCTACCTGTGATTTTCTAATGATCCTGAAGACATTGATTAGCTTGCTCCGATGTGTTTGATTAGGGTTAGAGCTAAACTCTGCAGGAAAGTGGATCTCGTGAGCCAGATTTGAGGATCCCTGGTCTAGGACACAGTCTATTAAAAAAGGCAGACTGATAGCCCTTGCAATCCAGGGGTGCAGAAGAGTAGCTTCCAGAAGGTCACAGATTCAATCCATTTTGTGCTTCTGCCACAGTTTTGCCCTTATTTTAATCACCCCACATCAGTCTACAGCTGGAACACTGTGTAATTTCATGACCTCTCTTGCCTCTCGACTCACACTAGAGAGTAGAACATGCACATGAGCTTCTGAAAAAATACTGTTGGACCACGAACACCTGACAGTTAAAATGAAATCATGCAATCCAGTAAAGCTAAAAATGCCACGAGATCTTTAATGATCGCTCCTGTTTTCTCAGTTATGCATTGTGCTCATCTGTGGAGGTTTTCTCCATAAAACATACTAAAATGGGAAGGCGGATTCACACTGACTGTTCATATTAAATCAATAGCACCACTATATTTACGTCACTAAACTGCAGTCCCGAACTTCTCCATCTCAAAGATGAGCTCGACAGCAGCGTCCACGTCCTCGGCGATCTTCTCTGGCTCCACCAGAGCTGGGTCGAAGCGGAAGTCGCGGTGGCCGTGGAAGACGGTCTCTTTGATGCACTGGCTGGCGTCTTTAGGTAACTCCATGTGGGGGTTGTAGACGCCTGTGCACACCAGGATGGACTTGCAGGACGTGGCGGAGGGCGACGCAAGCTCACTTTCCCAGCCGTTGTCCATGTCCACCTCCTGAGGGACGCTGGCGGGCGTCCCTGCTCCAGTCACCATGTTCGCCACTGCTTTGGTGGACTTCCTGGCCATCCGTTCATCGAGGTAGCGGTTGTAGAGGTTGGCACCATAAATATCAGTCATCAGGTTGTCCCTAATTGCACATAGAAGATTAGCAACAGATTTCATTCATTCCTAAAAATGTCAATTTCTTGAATTGAATAGACACGTTTGGTATTCTGTCTTGTTTTCTGTCATGGTTGATTTCATGTACATTTATTATCAGTGTTGGGGAAAGTTACTTTTGAGTGAGATGAATTAATGCATATTCATATTTATTTTAGAGCTACAGTAACATCTTCTGATTTCTCTCAACATGGGGACAGGAGAGCTGCCAATCAATAAATTGGAAAAAAAAAGTAACGTGTGTTACTTATTTGAAAAAGTAACTCAGATATTCTATTGTAAATTAAAAAGTAATGTTACTTTACTAGTTACTTGAAAAAAAGTAATCTGATTACGTAACTCGCGTTACTTGTAGTGCATTACCCCTAACACTGTTTATTATTTTTATTCATAAATGTATTTATTCAGTTGTTCAAAATTGCATAAGGAAAGAGATGTTTGCAAGAGTAAGATCAACACAGCACAGCTGTTGCTTTGTGAATGACTTCACCGGTCATGTTTCCAGTGGTTATGTCGTTTTAATGTTCTGATGATTTTTACACCAGTGAAATAAAGTGAAAGGAGGAGTAAAAAAGTCAAGAATGGCATCAAATTTTGCTTTCTGCTATACGGTTCTAGAAGGCAATAGCCTTTCAGCAAGAAAACTAAAAGATATCTACAAACTTTCTGTGCTTGGCCTCTAAATATTACTGTCCACAAAATATGTTGTAACCCTTAAAGGAGTAGTTCACCCTACAATGTTTTTCCTGAGGCCATGCAGATGAGTTTGTTTCTTCATCAGATTTGTAGCTACATTTCTACAAATATTTCTACAAATCTACATCTTGGATGTCCTGAGGGTGAGTACATTTCCAACAAATTTCCCTTTTTGGGTGAACTATTCCTTCCTCCATTCACACAGAAAGTTTTTTTTTTTTTTTAAGGGAGATTAATGTTTGATTGGACACATCTATAATGGAATAAGCACAAATCCCATATGAGATAAATACGATCAGACATGTACTGTGCAAAATCAATGTTAGATTCTTTAAAAAATAAATAAATAAATTTAAAAAAAATATATATATATATTTGTTTTTTTTACGGTTATTTTATATATTTTGCTTTAGATCTATAATGGAATAAGCACAAATCCCATATGAGATAAATACGATCAGACATGTACTGTGCAAAATCAATGTTAGATTCTTTAAAAAATAAATAAATAAATTTAAAAAAAATATATATATATATATTTGTTTTTTTTACGGTTATTTTATATATTTTGCTTTAGTGTGCAAATTTCATGCTGGGAGAAATCTACTTGCAAAACTACAATTTTAATAAGAACAAAACTGTTTTAAAGGCTAAAGAATGGTCATATCAAATACTGAAGTGATGTAGTTAATAGAAGTTAACATAAAATCTGTCTATGGCATTATTTTTAAAAACACGCTTACTTCACTTTTTTTTTTCCAAAATTGCCTGAAACTTTTCACAATACTGTAGCTTTGCAGGTAAATTCTCCAAGTGTCTTAAGATGTTTCATCTCTTCATGTAATTACAGACACACTGGATGATTCTTAGATCAGATATGTATGTGGACCATTTGTCAAAAAAAAGGAATGTATGGAAAAATCAAACACGCCAGACATTTGCATGGCACTATATATTTTGCTCTGCAAACTGGATATGATAAATAATATCCCAAGCATAAAACAACACTTTTTTTAAACAAGCAGTGTAGGCACGGGGTAGATTTTGTGTTTCGTCTGCAAGCTCATGTTTGAAATCCTCTCACATCCACACTGGCCCATTACACTGTGCATGTGTCTCACCCGATAGCATACAGGGATCTGATCGGTGCCCTCCAGCCTCTCTCAGTAGCTTGTTCTCTAATGAGGAACTCAGCAAAATGGTAGGTCAGTTCACTGGGCTTCCCCATGAGGGCCTCATACTTCAGATCTTTGCCAGTGATCTTCTTATAGATGTTCTCCAAACACACCATGAAAGTGCCGTGACCGAATCTGTTGATGGGAGATTTTTCATTCATTAATTGGCCAGTCTCAGATCACTGGAGGTAGCTTTGCTCAATTTACTGCTACACTTCAATGCATCATACCTACATTGTCTATATGTATATATGTGACCCTGGAGCACAAAAGCAGTCATAAGTCGCTGGGGTATATTTGTAGCAATAGCCAACAATACATTGTATGGGTCAAAATTATAGATTTTTCTTTTATGCCAAAAATCATTAGGATATTAAGTAAAGATCATGTTCCATGAAGATATTTTGTAAATTTCCTACCGTAAATATATCAAAACTTAATTTTTGATTAGTAATATGCATTGCTAAGAACTTCATTTGGACAACTTTAAAGATGATTTTCTCAATATTTTGATTTTTTTGCACCCTCAGATTCCAGATTTTCAAATAGTTGTATCTCAGCCAAATATTGTCCTATCCTAACAAACCATACATCAATGGAAAGCTGATTTATTGATGATGCATAAATCTCAATTTCAAAAAATTTACCCTTATGACTGGTTTTGTGCTCCAGGGTCACATATGAGCAGAATGCATTTACCAGCATGTGTATTTATATGAGATCCATCATATAACAATAAAGGTTCCATGGATGTTAAATGTTCTTCATGGAACCATCAGAGCCAATAAAGAAGCTTTATTTTTAAGAGTGTATAAGAGATTGTAAGTCCTTTATGGATATGATGCAACAAGCAAACACAATAAAACTGCTATTGGAGCATAGTGTCACAAAATGTAAATATGTGCCAAACAGGTTTGTTGTAGTCGAGACTTTAAACATTGTATATCTATACAGGAACTGACTTAACCCTCTGCTTAGAAATACTCACTGGTGTAAAAAGTCTGACAACTAGCCCCAGTCTCCCTAATAAATCAGCATTTAGAGCGAGCTGATCACCTTGCAGAATGTGCCTCTGCCATCCACATGAGATCCATGTTACAGGCCAAGAGCGGCAGATGAGCGGAGAGAGTGGTTTCATAGGCGTTGCTCAGATTGCCGTTGGTGAGAAGGACATCAATGATGAGCTGTAAGTTCGTTTCCCATCGAATGGGCTCCCCAAACAGAACTACAGCTAGAACAGGAGAAAAGAGGCTAATTAAAGCCATTGTCTGTCTTTCACGCTATTATTTATTTGATTGCATTATTGTTTGATTTTTCTTTTATAATACAGGTTCCAGCTTAATACATACCAAGTACATATAGACTACCGTTCAAAGTTTGGGGTCAGTAACTAGCTGTTTTCTATGTGAATATGTATTAAAATGTAATTTATCGATGTTGAACACAGTTGTGCCGCACAATATTTTTGTGGAAACTGTTATACATTTTATTTTTCAGGATTCACAGATGAATAGAAAGTTCAAAAGAACAGCATTTATTTGAAATAGAAATCTTTTGTAACATTATGAATGTCTTTACTGTCACTTTTGATCAATTCAATGCGTCCTTGCTGAATAAAAGTATTTATTTATTTCAAAAAGTATTACAGACCCCAAACTTTTTATTGTGGTTTAGGATAATAACAAGCTTTCTGGTGTACATGTACATTTGAACGTTTTGAGCTGGATCAGACAGATTTAGTCAATCATTCAGACCAGTTTCATGAAAAATATTCACAGAAAATAGATTCTCATCTGCACACCTAGAGTGCAGAATAGTCAGTGAAGAATCAATTAAAGTCGACATTACTATAGTGGTGTAGCCTGTATCTGAGAGAAAGCGCTTCTTGAGTGAAGAAAAATAAAGATTTTGTCCAGTGGGGACTGACAGGATTGACTCAATCATTGGCTCATTCGTTAACTGCTGTGATCTCATGTTAGTGTCATTGCCAAGGACACGTTTTTGTTTAAAGACTACGAGTTTAAAAAAAAAACACTGCAATATTCCACAAAAAAAAAGAAAAAAAAGATCTTGATTTCATGGTAAAGCTGAATATATGGTTACAGTACAGCCATGCCATGTTACGCAGCACATCCCACAACTAGCCAGTTATCTCCAGAAATATCTTACCTTCAACTCTGGGGAGGTTCACCACAGGCGAAGACTGAAACAACAAGGAAAGTATCCGGTTTCTGTCATATCTGCCATTATATGTCATCTGACCGATCTCATAAACTATCCAGCAGCCGATTCCCTCACAGAACAACAGGTTTGGGGATTTAGAAAAACTATGAGACTATATACAGGTACAAACCATTTTAAAATCTTCAAATACGCAGTCACATGCACGAAAAACAGGACAGGAAATCTGCAAATTCAGCATAATCTTCTATTTGTCCAGTTTACAACAAGGGGGCTTGTGTTTTATCCTATACATATCATTGCCACTGGCCAATCTCTTCACATTGCATTTATGTTTGACCTGTTCTAACCTGACCTGACGGTGAATAACACATGCACATACTGCATAAACCTCTGCCCAGAAGAATCAATGTCAAAACTGGTTACAGAAAAAAAAGGTATTATTAGAGTATAAACCACAAACTTACAACAACCCTAATTATCTTGAGTACACAAAAAGCATTGATTATGGAATTTAAAAATTAATTAATAATTACTCGGTTATTAATTTCATGCAGTCCGATATTTACAATGTTTTGTCAATATTCCACAGTGTGAACTGTACGTCTAGATAGACCACCATTCAATAGTTTGGGGCTGGTATGATTTTTTAATGTTTCTGAATCAGCTCTTTTCAGAGCAAGCCGTTTTGTAGCATTTCCCTTTAAATGTTAATGAGCTCTGCTGACCCCGCCCCTCCTCTCTGAGAGACTGTTTACTTCAGTCGCATTCATCCTGAAACTTGCTAATTAGCACATTACCCTTTAAAATGTAATGTATTTCTGTGATGCGCAGCTGTATTTTCAGCGTCATTACTCCAGTCTTCAGTGTCACATGATCTTCAGAAATCATTCTAATATGCTGATTTGCTGCTCGAGAAACATTCCTGATTATTATCAATGTTGAGCTGCTTCATCATTTTGTAGAAACTGTGATACATTTTATTCTTCAGGTTTCTTTGATGAATAGAAAGCTCAAAAGAACAGCATTTATTTGAAACCGAAATCTTTTGTAACATAATAGAAGTCTTTGCTGTCACTTTTGATCAATTGCTGAATAAAAGTATTAATTTCTTTAAGAAGAAACTGTACTTTTAAATGCTAGTGTACATTTGTTTTTTTACAGTGAATTGTACCAAAGCAATCAAGTTAAATCAAACTGCTCCAGAATTCAGATTTCGTGATGCATCATTTAGTAAGTAATAATCAAAAGAAATAATCAAAGCAGAGCGAATATTGATAAGACGTGTATAGTTACTGACTTACCGGTAGTTTGGGCCGTCTGTTGTGATCCACCATGTCCAGCAGAGGGAAAGATTCGCGCAGCATGTCGATACTGACCACGTTTGTGAAGCCCACACTGATTCAGTGAGTCAAGAATTCATTTGACTCATGGATGAACCTAAAAGTGATTATCACTGTTTTAATGATTCAAATCCATTTGTATTCACAAACAAATACAGGAGATTTGAAGGATTACGATAATCCTATTCCTCGTGGAAAGCTTGTAAACACTATCACATAATACGGTATATCAATATAATACGGTCACATCTAACAATATCGCGGAGATGCTGGAAAGGCCAGCAAAAGTCAGAGAGACCGTCATAATCACACAGACCAGAGATACATCCATGTACATCCATGTTTAAATCTTTGATGTTTTCTGTGGGCTCTATAAAAAGCATCACAGTTGTTTAATTTGTTTAGCTCATTTAAATGTGTGCTAGCTGTTCACCCTGCTGCCATGAATCCAAGTACTTGTTACACAACTAGCCAGCAACTCAGGCTTTGTTCGAACTAGTGCGACAGGATTTGGCCAAAAATCCCACTGTGGTTATTTGTCTGTATATTTATTTCACTAAAATGCAGCCGTCGGATCGACAGAGAAGAACCTGAAGACACTGGACAGGCAAGGATACTTTTTGGCGATGTCGAGCACAGGACCTTGTCCAGACACCAGAACGTGCTTGTCGTGATATTTCTTGAACATTCGCAAAGGGCTGTGAGACATCATGACTTGGTCTTGCGATATCTACAAATCAAACAAGCAGATTATCATGCATATCAATGGTTATAAACCATACATAAATGCTTTATGGTTTGGAGCATGTAACAAAAATCGTATTTAAACTTTTTAAATAACATGAGCAAACCCAGAGGATTCTAGGGATGAAACGGTTATCGGTTTGACGATAAACCACAATAAAAAGTTCCTATGGGCAGTAACACGGTTTCTTATTTTAATTATCATTAAAGCCGTCTTTGATTATCCTGAATTGAAAAACCCGCAGTAAATACTGCTCGGCATTAAGCAAGTGCCTGATAAAGCAGTGTTTAAAAGTGCAGCGCTGCTTTAGCTACAGAGGTTACCGTTGAAACAGCTCTATTTCGTGAGCTCATTCGTGAGCTTTAGCTCATTCTGTCACTGATGGAGTTTTGGTTCCTTGCCTCTGTCGCCTCTG